GCTCCCCAGTTCAAGAAAGATGAAGAGCTACTGGAGAGAGTCCAGCGGAGGGCTACAAGGATGGTGAGGGGACTGGAACATCTCTGCTACGAGGAAAGGCTGAGGGAGCTGGGCTTGTTCAGCCTGAAGAAGAGAAGGCTGAGAAGGGACCTTATAAATGCTTACAAATATCTGAAGGGTGGGTGTCAGGAGGATGGGGCCAAGCTCTTTTCAGTAGTGCCCAGTGACAGGACAAGGGCAATGGGCACAAACTGAAGCACAGGAAGTTCTGTCTGAATATGAGGAAGAACTTCTTCAGTCTGAGGGTGACGGAGCACTGGAACAGGCTGCCCAGGGAGGTTGTGGAGTCTCCTTCTCTGGAGATATTCAAGACCCACCTGGACAAGGTCCTCTACAACCTACTGTAGGTAACCCTGCTTCGGCAGGAGGGTTGGACTAGATGACCCACAGAGGTTCCTTCCAATCCCTAGCATTCTGTGATCTTCCTTGTTCTCTTTCTTGCGGCAAATGGTTTGGTATGAGTCACGTGGATCTTCTAATTGGGACCTGCCTACAGTGTGGGCGAACGGTGCCGAGACCCAGAGATCAGTGACCACTGACCATTCCTTCATTCCTGCCATCATCTTGGTTTGGCACTAAAACACTCCATTCAAAGGAAATATTTGTTTCTTGGACCACCATATGTTTTAAGAAAGTTTTATACCCCAGGGGTTCTGTATTGGATTCCAGCAGGTTACTTCATTAAATGAGCATATCAAATTTGATTGGAAGTTCTCATCAGCTTTCTGTTCCATTTAATTTTATTTTTATACAGATGAAGAAATTACTGTTACACCCATACCCACTGACAAGCCAACTACATTACTTCACATCTACTTTACAACCACATATAATTACATAACCTCTCAGTTTATTTTCTTCCAGAACTCATGGCTCCTCCTAGAATCTGTTCTGTCTGATCTAAGAGGAAGATTCTGGCCTAAAAAAAGGTTTTCAAGACATTTACATGGTTTGGGTTTTTCCTGTATTGAATATTCCACATTTATTAACCACATTTTGATTCAGAAGAGCAGCAAGGGCTTTGCTGATAGTCTGGAGAGGCTGTGTTAGTGCAAGCAAAACACAAGCCCAGCATCAAAATATTCTGCATAAATCTCATTATCATGGGAGAGCTTTCATCATTTCAGCTCCATGCTATAAAATCTCTCTTAGCACACTGTGTTCCCTCCACTTTGTTCCTCTTCAGTTATAGGCACTACAACCACTCTCCCATCTAAAATTTCCAATCTACTTTCCTCCTCAAGCCCTCCTGTTCTTCACTGATTTCGGAAATGTAGCAGACAGAATTGCAAAGTATTCTCGCCTCACTGTTGAGGGCCACCTTGGATAAGAATGGGGCTGGCAGATTACAGTCAAAGGACATAGCTGGGTAACTACAAATAGTTAGAATGCAAATTACTATCTGGCATTTTTTGCAGGACTATATAGTTTTATGCTAGTATAAACTCAATGAAATCAATTAAGGCAGTTCACTGTAAGGCTGGAGCGTAACTGTGGTGAAATGGCCCCTAAGATTGTTTTTAATGCTCACCCAAAGTTGCATTCTTAAACACATAGTCACAGACCACAGGGTCTATTTGTTCTAATTTATCGCAACAATACTAAACAATCTGGCACAAACATCGTCTTTCATTCATGCCAAGAAATGCTATGCACCCCTGAGATCCCAGAGAAGGCACCAGGAAGAGCAGATGTTCACCCCTTCTCCTCACAAGACCCTGGTCTGGAAGCATTTTCATATATGACTTTATCAACTTTAAAATTAATGGTTCAGTCCTACAGCCCTTCCTCCCACCAGTTTTATTTATTAAAGTGACTAGAGCTGCACAAGGTCTGATAAAGAAAAGTTGCAATGCCAGGCTCCTTAATTCTTATTTGCTTAGATAATTTCAGTTGCATATTGCAGAGTGCATGGCGAGAGACTTTCAACAAACGAGGGAATCCTATTTTCTGTCAAAAAACCATTTCCACGTGGCTATGTGGCTACTGCTGACGAACTGAAATAGCTCAGACAGTTGAGCACTGGTTTTTCTTGTGCTGTTTTAGCCAGTGACAGAAATAGTGGTTGGGTTGGACCACCACTGCTCTTGGATTCATTGGGGTGGGCAGGGCTCTGCAGGTCTCCAGCCCACCCTTGGGCTCAGAGCAGGCGCAGCGGGAGCAGGCTGCCCAGAGCCTCACCCAGCCAGCTTTGAGCATCTCCAAGGATGGAGATGTCACGCTTTCTCTGGGCAACCTGTTCCAGGGCTTGGCCACCTCCACTGTAAAAATATTTTCCTTGCACAAAGCCAGAATTTGCTGTGTTCCAGCTTCTGTATGTTGCCTCTCCTCCAGTACCCCATCTCATCCCACTGTAGACTGTTTCACAGGATGAACAAACCCACGTTTCACCGAGCTCTACTGAAGGACCCAATGGTGTGGGACCATTTCCTCTGTGGGCATCATGAAATAGATCACCTTCTCACCTCCCACAGTGCTACAGAAATGAGGAAGAAACTACTTTGAGATCATCTGCCAGAGGAAAGTCCCCAAAACTGGTGTCTGCAGTAAGATGACTGCCAGCACATTGTTCTGGCGAGGGATCAGGCACAGTGGGGCTGTGAGGTAACACCGCTCCTGCCCAGGGCAGTACCTGTTCTGTGCACATGTGGGACAGCGCTGCTGCTCAGAGCAGTCAATCAGAAGTCACTTCTTGTCTATAGACTGAGACATATACTGCAGTAGCTGAGGGGAAAGCAATCCTCAGAGCAGACATGATCCACGCCCACACTGGATGGTTGTTCTTCACCTCAGCCTATACCGGATTGCATCTAGGTCACACACACTAAAATCACACACCTAATCATGCTTTGCAGGGAATAAGCTGAGCCAGAGCCGAGGAATCGCCTATGCCAGAACAACATTACCATATGAAGCAACACCAGCATATAATTGAAATAATTTATTTACCACTAGAGCACCACAAAAACAGACATACAATGTGTTAAAATACAGAGTAATCGATCACCAAAGTACAACACAGCTGTCCTTTAAGTTCCTTTTTTTTTTCTTCTCCTTTAAACCATGCCAACCATACAATTGTATTGATGCTGAACACATAAAAAATGCTGTCCTACCCCACCCAGCTAAGTGCTAAGATTCCCCCTCAGCCCCAGTCAACCCCTTGGGTCTGACCTTTCAGGGTGCTGATCATTTCCCACCGGTTCTCGGGGACTTGGCTCAGACAATGGCAATTACCTCGTCGTGATGAATCCTCTGGCACAAAGTCCTTGAGCTGTTGCAGACCCATCTGAACATCATTGGGGGGGGATTTACATCAGACCTGAGCGGTGCTTAGGACTCACATTACCCCACTCTGTAGAGGGGCATTTCACCCATGAGTTCCGCACATTGTAGGATCAGGCCTAACATCCTTGGTAATTAAAGGGAAATACATGCCCAATAAACAAACAAAAAAACCTGTAGGAGCTTTATTATAATAGACTATTTCAAATACTATCAGTGCATTTTGAGGAAAAAAAAGTGAAAAAAAAAAGTATTCAGTCTTGGGGTAAAGACGTACAGAAATAAGGTTTTATACTTTAAACTCCAAACCCAAACCGAAATTTTCAGCTGCGTCCAGCGCATAGTGAGTATAGTTGGACAACTATGCTACTTCCTATTCCACTCTTTCAAAACTTCAAAACCGGTTTTGAGTTGCATTCCCACAGCAGAGAATCGCAAAAAGGTTTTTAAGTTTTTTAAAAAGTGTTCATCCTTGTCTCCTTTCCTGTCCAACAAAAATACAGTTCTCATACTGAACCTGATAAAACTAATTTTGCTGCCGCATACAACAAAATCCAGAGTATTTACTACCCTGAGGAGTTTCACTAAGTTCAGTGCATCTTCTCACTGGAGTAAGTCTGGCTCAAGCAAGTGTTAGCAGGGCAGATTTTTCACTTGTTCATCTCAACTCACTAAATAAATCAGAAGTCTAACATACCTCCTCCTCTGCGCTGAGTCAGCGGGTGGGATTAGATCATCTGTGGGGCTACGCTTCCATCTAGGCAATAAGCACAGGCTCTACCGAAGCCCCGAGGAGCTGCGCGTGCAAGCCGCTGCGGTACTTCGGTTTTGCATCAGTGTTCTGCTGAAGCCAAAGAAATTGCACTTCTTAAAACTGGAGCTGACAACATCCAGCTCAGGAGCATCCTCCCGACACCGCTCGAGAAGATGTCCTTCTTATCCAAGTAGTATGGGTCTAATGCAGTTTTCCAGCTTTGCCGTGCAAAACCATTCGTCATCTGAAATGAACTGAATGTGCCGCCTTTGTGATTTTTTGGCTAGCTGATGTTAGGGCTTTTTATAAATGAAGAGTATGACGTGGATTTTTTTTTTACTCCCTCTACAATATTTAAACATGTAAGAACAACAAAATCCTAGGAACCGCACGTTCCTTATTCCTCTCCATTTTTTAAAAGAAGCTTTAATGTGAACTCAACTGAAAAAAATTGGCAAACTCACAAAAATCAAGGGTCTGATCCTGCTAATCCCTACACACACCCCAATAGCCTAAAGGGGCCTGCCGTGCTGCTGCAGAAGTTAAAGGCAAACCTCTGTTACCTGCAGCAGGAGCAGGACCGGCCCCACAGACTAACTGCGGGGGCAAGTCCCCGCTGTGTGGCAGGCCACCGCGCGGCCTCTGACCGCACACCGATCCCGCTCACCCCGTCTGGGGCATCGCCGCGGCAGATGCTTCCTACCAGCCTTCTGCACAGTGGTGAATGTCATTCTCTGCAAGGGTCTGCCTCGCCTCAGCCAGGCTGGGACATCTCTTCTTGCAACACCTTGCTCCCTGCCCATCTGTTTGAATGTCTATAGCCGAAAGGAAATCAAAAGGCCTGCAAGTCCGAACCGCATGGCGATTCAAGTGTTACAAATGGGGACAAGCGGGGAGGAAGGGGAGGAGGGGGGGAAGGGGAGAGGTCGCTTTAATCCATGCTTTTTATAAAACAGAAAAACAAATGGAGTCAGGTAGCTTATGTCATAATGATGAACAATATACAAAGCACATGTATAGCAATTATTATAAAACATGTATTTGTAGTGCAAGTCAAAATATAGGGACTCTACTCATACTGGCCAGCTAGAGGGAAACACGTGATTCTGAGTGATCAAAAAGAGCCCCAAATTCAAATTCAAACTCATGAAAGCTGACAGTATTACAGAGTACAAAAATATGGTGAAAATTTACACATTACACATAAAGTACTTAATTTTTTAATAGTTTACAAATAGAGATCTACAGATATGTTTCCAATTAAGCTGGCTTTTACTACCCACCTATTGTAATACTCTAGGTATGGTTACATATACCAAAAGAACAAAAAATCCCATAGCATAGCTATACAGCAACATATTAAGGTCTGAAGATTAGACCAGTACAAGTTAAATATTTCACTGGTTTACTAAACTGACATTTTAAATCATTTACAGTAAAAAAAAAATCTTATAGACTTGTCTTTGAGACTGAAACAGAGTGTCCTTTATTAGTAAATTATTCAGTATTTAAAACAAGGGTTTGAGACCTTACAAGAAGCCTCTCTAGGCAGCTGGCATGAAAAATCAGGTATTTTAAAGGCAGAGTTTCTCAATAATGTAATAACTGATTTCTATTTTAATCAAACTAAACTAACCATTACTTTTCTGATTCTTTTGAGCTTGTGTTCCTTTAGGCTTTATACGTATTTCTGGCAGCTTATTTGGTCTCCACTTTGTCCACATTGGCTGGTTTTCTTTTTTCCAATGGCGATACGGTAATGTTCATTTAATAGTTTTTACACACAAATAAATAACGCACTGTTAACTCTACAACTAAGAGGAATGGGTAGGATGCCTATTGCGTAACAATACAGAGAGATCAAGTAAGGCACGGGACAGATACAGCAACTCCACTTCATGGGATTTTCCTGTTTTTTTCCTTTCACATAGTAACACTAACAAATTTCTTCCAGTGTTTATTTTTTAAAAGGTTTTTTTTTCTTTAACTTTGCTTCTTGTCTATCTCACTCTGTGTGTAGGTGAAATGTAGGATAGAGGCCTTCAATGTTTTGCTTCAGATGCCAGTTTACAAAAAAGAACGAAACAAACTTTGAAACAGTTCAGACTAGTACCGCTTTTTTTTCTTCTTTTTTTTTTTTTCTTTTAACACTGATGAACCTGGGTTTTGATTTTTCTTTCTTTCCTTCTCGCTCTCTCTTTCTTTTTTTCCTTGGTTATTTTTTTTAATACACACGTGTCATGCTGTTTCAGGGGTATCCTTTAGCTGCACTTGCAAGACTTTACGATCATGTTGGACAGTTGTTCAATTTTGGGTGTTTTGCCAATGTAGTAGAGGATGGTGAGGGGTTCCAAATCCTGGGACACGCAGCAGGGAGAGGCAGAAGCTTCTGGATTTATGGTGTTATATAAGCTGAGTACCTAGAGGGAGAAAGGAAAAAAGAGAGAGATTAAGACAGCTACCTCTGCCTTTCTGCCACTGCAGAGCAAATTCCTTTCTGCATCACTTCCTCCCACAGTGCCGGAGAGAAAGCCCAGTGAAAGCTGTATGAAGAATCCTGGATTTTAGGATTTCTTTAGCTTCTCCAGTTCAATCCGGCATCACAATCTGCCTGAGTTTTCTAAGGTTTTATCCATACAGTCTTAAACCTCAAACCAGGCACATGACTGGAGCTTGCCTTGCAAGCACAGCCCTTTGAATCAACATGCACACTGTACTGATATGGAAAGAAGAAACGGAAAGGGCTTTATCTTCAGAGTGCCATTTGCTGTTGCAGGATTTTGGCACCAAAGGCAGAAGAGAGCCCTTCACAACATAAGCACTCCTCTGCTTTTCCTCTCTGGCTACATTTTACTAAGCCCATTAATGCCACCCTGCAAGCACCAGGACTCAAGCTGCTATTAATCCTCTTGAGAATCAGCTGTGGTGAAGTTCGCAGCGCTGGTGCTTTATGTCACGTTGGATTCATACGCACGGTTCTCTGCAAGGGAAGTATGTAGGGTTACCCGCTGATGATGCATAGGTATTTCTGAGGATGCCATTAATGTGTTAGCCAAACACCAAGTGACCTTTTCCTAGAACTTCAACTCAACATTTGCAGCTTAGAGAGACAGAAGATCTGTTCAGGACAGCAACACTAACTACTTTATTAAGCAACTTCTGACTCCTTAGGCAACTATCCAAACCACATATTTGTGACCATGACAGTTATTCTTCCTCTTTCCTTTAAAAACAAGTGCTGCTCCAGAATGTGTACACTACTACTCCATAACCAGCATGGAAACATACTTACCTTATTTATATCTCTGCCTGCTGACCTTGCTAATAGTACAATGCCACAGCCAGTGATGGCTACAAAGGATATCTATACCTGGGTCTGTAAGTGCAGGAAGAAAACCCTGTCATGCCTTCACAGTCCAAAGGGAAAGCGAGCTGCCCCTTGGACTTGAAGAGTTCTCTCTGCTGGTTGACATTGATCTGGTATTTTAAGGCAGGCTTGAAAAACAGGAGACATCATTCTTAGTCTGGACCTGAGGGTGAAATTCTTACTTTATGACAACTCCAACGCAAATGTCTGCCTCTTGTATTTACTGTCTAGACACCCTTATTGACAGTTGAGAGAAATAAGCACTTCACAGCAGAACACTACTCATCCTAAGGCAGTTGGCTAAAATACCACATCTAATCATTAAAATAAAAAGTCCCATCTCAGACAACTATCAGTTCTTCGGCATCCCAGACACAAGATTCCTCCTTTGCATATAAATTATCAAAGCACAAGAAGGAATACATCTTCTCAAGTAAAATAAGCACATATATCAGTACATTTTCATGAAATTCAGCGTGGTAGCATATCAGTAAAAATGAAAAATGAAAAAGTGCCAGTCATAAAAGTAGGCGATACTCAGGTGGAATGGCTCAGCCCTTTCATCACTCTGATAGTGCCTCCCTCAGTGCCTTTGCTGATTGAACTCATCGTGCCATCTTCCACTCATGCTCTGTAATGAAATGCCCCTTCCCAGGCAGCTTCCCAAAGCTACACCAAGCTCATACTCACAAAAAGCATTCAATCCATCCATATGTCATATCGATGAACACATAAACCAAAAAATCTCTGGGCCAATACATTCCTACTGCTTCAAGTCCCTCTACAGGGCCACATTTCACCATCCTTAAGTTATTGAGACAATAGATACAAGCTTTGGGCATTGGTGCTGATGTCAGTCCTAGAAACATATTTCACCCTGCAGTCATAAAATAGAAGTGAAAATTAGCAAAATCTTTACTTACTCTGCTGTGCTGAGTATCTGAGCTCCATAAATACGGGCAGGCTCCTGCACAGAAATTAGCATGATATCCTTTAGGTTCATGAATCCACTTCCAGCCAAGATCCCTCTTGAAGTCAATATAAAGTGGACGCAGACAGCAATTATCCTGCACGTTCCTGGGAAATGAAATACAGACAAACACATCAGTCATAACAAAGACAACACAAGGAACAAAAATAATCCAGTTGCTTGCTCCCTGAATGATGCTTTACAGGCAGGCAAGTCTGAGTCCCCCAAATTCACAACCAAATCACATCAACAGTAGCTTATACTGTAACTAAAATCAGATGCTTAGACACAGCAGGACTTGCTTATACAGACAAAGTCATGGTTTCCCTGGAGGACTAGCAAGTATTTTTCTCTAGGTCCTACTGAGTGGCCGCTCTGCGTACGTGAGCATGGTGGAGGTGACAATTTGGCTGTAATTATGGGGCTGATGGGCCTGGGAGTGATCCTGGATGGAATTCAGCTTCTGCTTTCTAAGGCCACAACTTTTCTCATCTGCCACTGTCTCTGCAGGATTGGAGACTGCTTGGCAAATACCTGCTGCACACAGACCCCATGGGTCTGCAAATGAGGGTTCACGCTCTGTGTAAACGCCAGCCACAAAGAAACATGACAAGCAACTGCACTACACCTCACAGGCTGGCACTACTATGTAAGTATACTAAATATGTATGAATAGTTACCTAAAACAATAGGCAGCATCTAGAGCACGCTTCTTCCGCCGACTGGGCTGTTGCGACTCAAGTCTGTAGGAGGGTAATAACATTAGCAGAAGATGTGGGGTCTTCCCACTGTATTTTTTCCTATTGGACTTTAAAGCTTTCACATCACCACTGGAATATGTGTAGTCATCAATACCTTCAAAAAATACATTTTGGTGATAAATATTGTGTTGTTTTTTCTTCACAAATTAAATAAACCATCTTTTTAAAAAAATTCTCTCAGAAACTGGGCAATGATGGTGTCAGCTGAGCATTTTTACTGGGGAAGTGGGGGCAAATTTCAACCCAAGATGCCTAAGATATTCACAGTTCTCGTGTTATCTATTGCATCAGCCCTCCCACATTCACAGCCATTTCATTGTATTTCAGTACATTTACCAGAACTGTTGAAATGAGTAACAGAAAAGATTACTTCAGTCACCGCATCTGCATTGCTTAGTTTCAAATGCCCCAAGCAGTGATGCTTTTGTCACTTCACACAGGGCAGTACTCCCATCTTTTAATAGCTATTTACCTTTTAAAACCCTGTAACACCATTAAAGCTGCTCTGGATACTTCACCTGCATTTCCCACTGCTTACTTCCATCCCATTAGTTTTCTCCATTACATTTACCTCTTTCTAATGTTTGTAAATTTTATGTCTCCCATTGCCAGTTTATTTAAAGCTGCTAATTTTTCCTAGAAAGTTAGTTATTCTAGCCCCTTCTTTCATATGGGCACAGCAAGGACACTGCTCAAAATATTTCTTCTGGAAGTGGCAATCAATGAACTCATATTTTGTGTTTTCTCTTGAAACACTAACTGCCTTACTAGCTTCTTATCATGGCAATAGCACAGGCAAAAGACTCAAGGTATTAGCCTTTCCTAGGAGTCCAAACAGCTCATGTTATGCCTGTTGCAAAGACCCTTCTGAAAATTAACCTCCCGAACCAGAAAACACTACCTAAATAGAAAAAGATGGACATTTCTTTTTGTAACATTTGCAATTAGTGACCAAATATCATACTAACATTTTTTTAAATACACACAACGGCTTTAATCATACATACATTACATGTACCTACTTAGAGAAAAAATTCCAATGCAGTGAAACAATGGTTAGAAAAACTTTATACCTGACAAAGAATATAGCCAAACCCTTGGAAAACACATGAACCAAATCATGATATACTTTACTAAATGAGAACAGTATAAACAGAATTTGGGATGGTTCTAATACAGACATAGTTTCATATGTACTGGTGGATGATAACTATAGCACGGCCAATTAAGTAACATTTCCCTTTTTAAAACTGAAACTTTAATGGAGCTTATGTGACCTTGATATATTTACTCTATATCACCTTGTCTGCTGTCCATAAGAAGCACATATATCCATAACCCTAACTACATGCTGTTGTTTATTTTTTAATCCCCACTCAATCCAATCTTTAAATTTTTACCAGGCTGTCAGCATAAAAAATACTTTGTGTAACTAATTTACAAATATGCTACAATAAATTCTACGTGCCAGTGCGGGTATATAGAGATAATCGATGTTAACTAACTTAGTTCTGCTGACTTCACCTGAGAATCAGACTTCCACTGCTGAAAGTAGGAGCACACAGAAAGGCACACCATTGCTGTTTCTTCAACCCACAACGCACTGGCAGTAAAACACTGCAGGACATCCACACAAGTCTAGCACCTATTGTTCAGCTCTTCCAAAACTGACTGATGTCATTGCTCAGAGTAATTTAAAATATTACTGATGTGACCAGGAGAAAAAAAACAAAAGAGTAGCTGGAGACATTTAGTGTGCCTGAAGAGCGGGAAGTACGTGTGCAGGTATCTACAAAGACTGGGACCCTCTATACTCAGTGAAGACAAAGGAAGGTGCTTCTGTGAGTAAAACAACAACCTGCTGCCTTACCTATACTTCGAAAATTTGCCACAAGTATTGTTTAACACTCATAAAACACAGCACGTTCACACACATATTTACTGCAAGCAGCTTAGATGTGTGCCAAACATCATCCCAATTCTACTTTCCAGCAGTAGCCTTCTCTACTAAGCCTGAACTGTTACAGTGCTAGGATGGACAGCAGTCAAAAGGTTTATTTTGAAAATATTCAGCAAGTTTTCTCATGACTACCCAACAGTGGATGGTCTACCATGCAACAGTCTTCCCTACATCCTAAATTTTATGTATATTCAGTGTGCATGCTGTAAACTGTAACACAGACACTTAAGGACGTCAAAGCTGCATGCATGGAATGAGATGGCTTATTTATGCCATCTGGTTTTAGAATAGTTCAGCTGATATAGTTTTACCCTTGTGCCTTCAATACCACTTCCTACCAGCTGAGAATCAAGCGTTTCAAACGAGCAAGTTTTCCATCAGCTGAATGCCAGAGAGGCAGTAACGGCTCTTTGTTTTCCTCCTCGGTTAGTAAGTACCACAACATCTTAAAAAGTTTTTTTCTTTCGTTACCTGCAAATCTTGCTTCAAGCTCCTCACTTTTATTTGGGATGATATAATTATTGGAAGGCACAAAGGTGCAGCATGGACAATGTAAGCTTATCTTAAATCCAAGGTTCCTGTCTGCAAAACATAAAAGTAAGTGGGGTTGGTTTTTACAGATGGAATGATCCTGAAATACTGCTGAGTTAATGGAGGAGCAGTTGGGGCAGGAGTGAAGGCAAAGAGCACTTGTTGTCACCTCTGTGATGGAGCCACTCATGTACAGCCTCAGTGACATCAAAAGACAACCATTCTCCTTCAGCTCGTGTTTTAACTACTTTGCTGTCGATGTAGCGCTGTCCTGGTGATGACAACTCTTTAGATTTTAGAACCTACAAGAAACAACAAATACAATTGCCTACAGGTTAAGATTTACCTGTTTTTTATTAAAATGGACCACCAACATTATAAAATAGCAGAAGAAACTATTACAGCTCAAACCGCTATGCAGCAGATGTACATTCAGGCATATTTTCAGAAAGCATTTTCTTAGGGTGCATGGGGAGAGGAAGGTGATATAAAAACACCCTAATGAAATCAGCTTATGTTCCCAAGCAACACATATTCCTGTCTAAGAGAAATCACACAGAAAGACTGCCCTGAAAACTTGTCCTGCAACACAAGTGGTCAAGTGATCATAGTAACTGGAACATCAAGAGAGGCTATTTCACCTTCTTCAGTAATACTGACACTGGTTAGAGCATAATACCAGATGCTAATGCAAGGCCTGTAAAATGTAGTCTGTACGCTGAAGACATTATATTGCTCACCCATAACTAATCTGTATGGTATTGCCTTATTCATGCTTCCAGCCCTCCCTCTGACTTCAGGTACTAGTCATACATTAAAGAGAAAAAAAATTATTGTCCATACAGGTAACCTAGGGGCATGCAGACACAGCCTGGTGTGAATCATCGCCACACATGGATTTGTGCAACAGGCAACGCTGCTCCCATCCAAACTTTGATGCCATCTGTATTTGTATTTGTGTCAAAAGTTTCAGCAAAGCTTGTAACTGAGCATGCAATAAAAAAATACCTGTACAAAAGAAACCCAGTCCCTCCCCCAAGACACAGTACTGCATGCCTAGAATTTCCAGTGCCCACAATCCTCCTCCTATCTAAACAATTCATCGAGTGCCTTTGCACATACAAGCCTAGCCTGCTATTATTTACCCTAGCTCTAGGATGAAAACAACTGGACTTTTGGCTGCTAACAGGTTTCTGTTTTCCTGGTTATTACTATGTTGATAGTTTTGCCATGCAGGAAGCTGGAATGCCATACAACATTAAGTCAACTGCAATCAAGATACCCCATGAGAACATCACTTTGTAACTTCTAGCATGCCAGCTATGCGACTTCATATATTGTTTCGGCTTCTTCCTCTAACCATCCAAGTCCATCTCCAAATGCGTAACTGACAATGCCTCATTGTTTCCTCCTATTCTGTCAGCCCAGATCAACCTGACATCTAGCAAATTCTGCTGTAATAAAACAATGGTGAAACTGCATAATACATGTAAAGAAAAATATTTCAAAAGAGGTGTGAAATTATGTCATCATGTTAAAATTAGGCTTTTCATAATTAAACAGAAAAGCAGGTTTGAAAAGGCCAGATTCTGTCCAACATGTAGAGCTTCGCTATTTATTTCAAGGGGGTGGTCGACCTCTCAAAGGCCAACAGTGCGTCTCCCACAGTAACATCCGTCTTCTGAGAAGAACATGACACGCTCTTTGCCTTCTTTCTGATCAACACGTTTAGCAAAAAGACATGAGAAGATGTTGGTCCAAGTCCAGAAAATTACTGTGCCCCTAGTAGGCGATGCTGAGTTCTCCAGTAGAAAGTGAGGGCACTCGAACATTGAGCATTGGGACTCCTTTTTATGAGGCAACCTTCAAACAAAGTGTTTGAACAACTGTTTACAGAGAGTCTGGCAGCAGCACGGGGACTACCATTGCTCAGAAGTGCCAGAGGGATGAGAGAATCAGTAATCAATGCTGGGAAAGTCCCAAAGAAGTACAAATATAACTTTGCCTTCCCTTTGGTCTTTATCAGGTCAACTCAAGTGTTTCTGAGGATGTAACGCAGCTGTCATTCTGCAAAGATGTGTTGGGGCGGGAGGAGTGGGGGTGTGAGGCAAACGGGACACAAGAACTTGGCTCATTTCTCTCCCTTTCTGCACAGTCATATCTTTCCAAAGACTCCAGAAACTGCATACCTCAGTTTTGGCAGTGATGTAAGGATCTAAAAGTAAGTAATGTGCCAAAAGCAATCTCCTGATGTTAACTATAATTGGTCTTAGATACATTCTGAAGACTCAGCTGTGCCTTAGTATCCAAAATAAAATGTCTTTATCCCAATCCCATTGCTACCAAAAGACAAAGCCAAGGGCTGGCAGTGTGTACCTGGCATGAAAGGCATTTGTAAAACTACAAGAAATCATCACTGCACATATGCAATGGTACAAAGAACATCCATCCTCATCGATGAACGGAATGACAAGAAAACTGTTTGCAGGTTTCAAAACTGTAGGACACTGTGGATTAAAAGAGCTAGATATTATTCATGCTATGGTAGCTATGATATCTGGGCTTCTCTCCATGTTGTTTATGCTGCATGTTCAGGAAGAAAATTATGAAGAATGAGCTAAAAATTCACGAAGTATGGCATAATATGGTAACTTGATAGTGTTAGGGTGTTGTATGATCTTAACAACCTGATAGCTTGTAAGCAAGAATGATCTAGCCGCACTGTTTCCATTTTTTCCTTCTTCTTCTGTTACATCTTTGCAAGTGTGGAAAGCTAATGGATGATCAAATCCTAGGCTGGATCCTCAGCGTCTATTTCCTCCCACAAAGTAAGTTGATGAAGGACTCTTCGCTTCTTTTCCTACACTGCATTCTATGTTTCCATCCACACTGAAACAACTGCACTCTACGCAGTGGTAATCAAAGTGGCCTCTTCGTAGGAATCTATCAGAAAGCTTAATAGCTACAATACATTCTTCAAATGAGTCTTCCAGAAATTACTACAGGAGATAAGCATTTTAGGTTTTTCTCTGCCATCTTCCCCCTTTGGTTTGCTTCTTTGTACTTCGCACTACATTTCTGGTCTTACCTTCCCCATCAACAGCACACCTTTTTCTTCCAATACACCCTCAAGCCTACAGTCCCATGGAAAAGCTTTTCTTTCAGTATTTCCAATACTTTCTTCCTACTAGATCAACTAGTTTAGTCGTAAAAAAGAAGAAAAGCCTTTTCTGTGCCTTGCAGCTTTTGTGCCTGAAAGCTCGCCTAATTCTTCATAGAATCATAGAATCATTTAGGTTGGAGGAGACCTTCAAGATCATCGAGTCCTACCGTTAACCTAACACTGTCAATTCCATCACTAAGCCATGTTCCTAAGCTCCGCATCTATACATCTTTTAAATACCTCCACAGATGAGGCCTCAATCACTTCCCTGGGCAGCCTCTTCCAATGCTTCACAACTCTCTCAGTGAAGAAATTTTTCCTAATTACCTTTACCTATAAACATTGCCTTGCCTATAAACACTGCCTTTCCTTTATGTTTAGCCCATCGTCACCACATCAAACACTGTTATCAGCAATGTTGCTGCACAACTTGTATCTGCAAGAACTAAATGAAGGCCTAAAAAGTAGACCTTTGTGCAAAAGAGTTTTCAGTGCGATAAAAATATTAACTGAAGACAAGGGAATAAAAAAAAAGCCCACAGGAGGGAAGGAAGACTGAGTTAAACTTTCCCTTTAATCTTTTCGCATTTCCATGTGGCATCTTGTAAACACTCCCTCTTAAAGAGGCAGAAAGAGTTGGGTATGTCTATGGGTCATGACGTGGGTGGATAGGGCTTTCAGGGTCGGGGAGTACTGTGCACAACCACCTGCATGCAGAGATGATAGATTCAATCACCTGCATGAGCAGGAGACAGTTTACACACACACAGAACCTCACCCCCCCACTTACATGCGGCACATTTGAACACCTGCATGCACACGTAGCTGATGATGCACAACAGCTGCACGCCCGCAGGTGCAAGCACGCATGCCTGCACACACGCGTGAGCGAAAGCTCAAAGTCAACAAACTCAAAATCCAGGTTGTGCAAAATCTCTACAGCTTCTGAACATGGGCACGTTCTTCCAGGTATATCAGAGTATTTGGTCTCACTTTCAACAGAGTGATAATGCAACGCTGCCTTTTCTGAGGAAGGATTATGGAGGGAACACCTGCATATGATCACTTTATGTGGGGATGAGCAGAATAGGTAGATTTGTTACCATAAGGTTATCCAGCAGATTTCTAGCTGAGTACACAGAGCAGTTCTCATTCAGTAGCCATGCTGTGAATTCTAACAACAATATGTTTTAGTCTACCCTATTTTTGTACGGGATTCCTCCCTTTCACAGGAAATCAAATAGTTAGCCAAAATGCTTGTTAATCTCTTCTTGACCAAGTATCTTGTACATTTAAGCCCTGGCTTCTAGCTATCTTTTTCTAGGGGTACTGCTAACCTTACCCTCATCAGTTTTTTTTCTATACTGACTCTTCTTAGAATACCTGGGGAAGAAGCTATCTTACAAATACCCATGAAGGATCTCTTAGATATCACACACGTGCAGCTACTGCCAGCAGATCAAGGCAAAACAAACACATGAATATATGAATAATGCAGTTAACTGCAGGAAAGGGCTCATGAAGCAGCCAGATGCAAACAAAGCATTGCTCCTGCTTGTACAGCTACACATGTTTTTAGGAATCTCACTTGGGGATCTTGGTGATGACAGCTCTCACATGCCACCCTCATCAGGCCTGCCAGTCTTCTGACATTTTATGAATAACATTGAAACCTACTCTTTATTGGTTCTGCAAAGGCATTCTGCTCAGTCTTTGGGGGAGACCCTCTGCTCTGCTGGCAGGGATTTGTCTGTGCTTCTCCTTGTCCGTTAGACGAGGCCAGACCACGATGCTATCTTGGAAGCGTATCCCAAATCAACATGACCAGGGCATTCAGCGGTGAAAAGCTTCAGTTCTGTCACAAACTGCTTTCAGAAGAACGACCGGCAAGTTTCCAGAAAACACTGATCTCTCAATTACTTCTGCCACCTGCTATGCTTATTTTTCAGATCAAATGGACGGCATTAACTGAAATATGTTTTTTAAAATTTCAGTATCAAGTAGCTGAAATCTTCATTAAAATACTGGAGGATGAAACTGTTTATTTATATGCACATATATTTATATTCTCAAGTAACTATCACACAGTTCTGAGTATAAAAATAAGGACAAGGGCTGTCTTAGTCTGTATTTTGTAAA